GAAAGAGTGGTTGTGCCCATGCATATCAGTCTGACTTGAACTTGTAAAGGCCTCCAGTATTATCCTCTGCTTATCCATGCTGGTTTTGACTTTCTATCCACCACGACTCTTTAAAAGCACTGCTCAAATATATGTTAATGGATTCTAGCCTCTGGGTGTTTAGCTATCAATTTATGTTACTAAAAAACATATGAATGTATGAATCATAAATCGACTTCTTTCTTTGAATATGAAATTGAGTGTGAGCCAACACTACGCTCATCATGCAATAGGCAAACCACGTGCTGGGTTACCTTAGGAAGAGAGTGAGCAACAGATTGAGGGAAGTTATTACCTCTTTGGCATGACACTGGGGAGACCTCACTTAAAATACTGTGTCCTGTTTTGGGCCTCCCACTTTAAGAGATGCTGAAAAACTGGAGACCGTCCAGGGTGGTTGGGGTCCTAGAGCACATGAGCTATGAGGAGAGCCAGAGGGAGCAGGGCTGGTTTAGCCTGTGAAGAGAAGGTGCAGAGTGATCTAATGGGAGCCTACAGCTGTTGGGAGGGTAGTTACGAGATTGTGGGGTCAAGCCCTAGATAATACAACAAGGGGCTACAGCTCAGAATTGTAGTATGGGAGGTTCTGGAAGGGCTTTGGGGAAAACTTGCTCACAAGTGGCAAAGGAAAGGGAACAGTTCCTGAAAAGGTTCAGGACTTAACTCAACAAAACTACGGTGGCCCTGATCTAGCATAGCTGATGGCTCCACTTCAAATAGGAGGCTGGACGAGAGACCTCCAGAGACCCTGTAAAATATCACAGAAGAGTTGGATTTTTGGTTTTTTCCTTACAGCTTCATGCCCTTCAGCAAGCAGCTGTGTCCTGTCACCAAGTATTACCAACGTTCCTTGCTCTGTACAAAAGGAAAGTATATGCTGTTGCAGCAATTGGTCAACTCTAGTTTTATTTTAGTACAAATTTGTTCATGACGTGTCTCTTTTGAATAAGAAATTTCTCAGGCTAAAATATTACGGCTAACCATAGACATTAGGTTAATTCTGACAAGATGATGCATTTAAAAGTAAAACTTGTAATGGGGCAGACTCTATCACGATTTCTCAGGGCAATACCAGTTGACCATAGCTAGATGCAGTCATTTTGTGGTTTAGTGTAAGCTTGCTCACTGTGTTGCTCTGCAGAGTCCCCAGTCCTTTGCTACATCTGACGTGCCCCACTTTGCTTTATTCCCGTGACCTGCCCCCTCTCAGGCTGGCAATCTCTCAAGCAATTCCCATGTTCTCCCTTCCGTCACCCCTGGGTAATCAGGCGCCCAGATGTCGTGGTTTGGGCCAGATTGGCCACTCAGGTGGAACAACGGATGCTCTCCCCTACCTCTCTCCAGGACACCAGTGGTTGGCAGTGGTTGTTTGGTGGTTTTTTTTCTGCCTAACAGGATTTCCCCCAGTCCAACATGCTCACTCTGCAAAGCCAAGTGAGCTTCTGCCATCAGCATTTTTTTCCTTGGTCTTTTATAGGACTTCTCTGGTCAGATGTTAAAACTTTAAAACCATGAAGTATTTGAAGGGGTGGTTCTCCTGAAGCCCATTGGGCATTAGGCAGGCTGTGGCACGACAGCATTGTTCTACATGATGAAATGTTTGTTTTCGCTCAAGTTCTTTCTGACTGTGTCACTTGGAGCATTAGTCAAATGCAACAATGATAAGCGTTGTTTGACTCTGGTGTACGTACCTTAATGTTGTCCTCTTCAGTTGTTTAAAAAAAATATATATGTGGAGTCTGTTTAATACTTCAAAATAGCCTTAAAAACATTTGATGAACTGAAACAACTTAAATAATGCTTATGAATCCACTCTGAACAAGAAGCAAGAAAAAAAAATGGCAGGAACTTTTTGGATAGGCTCCAAGCACTTTCGCATGTCCAAAGATTGTTTACTTTGAAAGCTATGCTAAGAGCTATATTCTCTTGAATAACAAGCCAACTTTTTGGTTATCGTAGATGAGCTTGGCTGGGTCCCGTTGAAGTTAGAGGAGAGTAAGGTGTAGTTATACTCCTGCTGAGCCTGAGCATTTTCAGATAACGATGACAGAGTTGAAGACTCATCTAGCAGCTACTGCTGTCCTAAATATTATTACTGTGTATTGCAGTTGCAAAGGTCTCATTGCAAGTGATGTATTTTTGCAACAAACACTTCTAGGCAAATGAATGTTGTGTCCCTTTGTTTCCATCTCTCCCGCACCGGGGCTGTGCTTTAGAAAAGCACTCTTCTGCATTGAATTTCAGACCTCTTTGAGCCTTGGCTTCTCTGTTCACTGTAACAAACACTTGAATCTTTGTGCTTTTGATTAAATGGCACTACTTCCCCTCCTTCAACAAAAGCAAGCTTGCAAGTCTCAAAAAAAATTTATTTGTGGCTTTATCTGTTCTTAATTTTATCACTGTTTGACCATGACCACAAATTCCAACTCTGTTATTTTTAGTTTAAACAAAAAAAAAAAAACCAAACCTGCAAACCTTGAAAATGAAACTTTGCACAGTTCAGTGACCTTAGCTTGTCACGGTTGTGGGTATACTGGGAATATCTCATGGTAGAACAAATTTATACTTCAATTCAAACGAAGAGGAAGAAATGCTCTTCCTACAGAAAGCTTATCCAGGCCTTGTTACAATTGTTAACTCTTTAGGTACTGCAGTATTATGACACTTGATCAGTATAGAGAAGCCATGGTTTGTGCTTTCCTGAAGTTAAAATCTGCTTTTTTTTTTTTTCCCTCTAAGGTGCAGTTGGGTTGTTTTCAAGGGCCTGCCTGATATACATCACAAGGGCAATGTATTGATGTAGCATGGAAACAAATGTGTGTATGAGTTCTTGCTGTTTCGATGTTTCTTGGCCTGAAAGAAAACAGCTGGAGCTATAAGGTACAGGTTTGGAGAAACCGTCAGGAAGAACTCGTCATGCCTAGAGCCTAAAGATAATGGTATAACATACATTATGGTTATATTCTCCACAATGCATGAATTGTAGTGGGGAACTAGCTAGTGAAACTAGCTTCAGAAGTATTAAGATGACATCCATGAATTAGAGGTTTGCAGTTGGCTGAGCTTGATAACATTTACCCCAGAACACATCAGCCTGAGCAGTCTGAGCCCCTGCCGTTGCAGGGGGGACAGGTGGCATTACAGGAGGCTGGAAAATGGCAAATGCTGTTATTCACTCCCCCACCCCTCAAAAAGAAAGAAAAAAAA